GCGGTGGCCGGGAACATGCCACTGCACTCCAGTCTGCGTGACAGAGTGAGACTCCAACTCAAAAAAAAAAAACAAAAAAAAAAACATGAATCACATCATGTACTTATATGCCTGGTTAAAACCCTCTACTGGCTTCCCACAGCAGATGGATAAAAAGTAAACTTCTGATTCACCATTGTTTTGTTAAGCACTGGCCAGGCCATGTGCTCTTTGAGGTATGGTCGCCGCCATGCTTTCTTAGCTTTGGCCCCCTTCCCTACCTTGGGAAGGTGAATCTTCTCTGTCTTCTCTCTCTCTCTAATTTACTTTCTAAATAAACTATATTTTCCAATAAAAAAAAGTGAACTTCTTACCAAGGACTTTAAGGTCCTTTCACCCTCTGAGTTTTACCTCTGGGCAAGCCACCAACTCCCTCATTCACCATGGGATCCAGTACACTGGTCTCCCTTCTATTTCCTGACTATGCTTTGCTGCTCTCACCTTAGGCATTGCTCTCCCCTTGGCCTGGAATGCTCTTCTCAGGTCTCAGTGTGGCTGCCTTCTCCTCACCTGCCTGGTCTCAGCTCCAAGAAGAGGACCTTCCCTGATCATCTGCTCTGAACAGGCATCACACCACAATGGTATTCGTAGCCTTATCTGGACTTGTCTGAATATGTTTACTTGTTTTTGATAGTCGCTCTCGACCAGTGAGGCCCAGTACTCAAAACAGCTTGGCACAGATCATGTGTTTGACATCTGTGTTAGATGAACATATAAAGGGATCAGGGCCCTCATCACATATCTGCAGTCTGCGAGTCACCCTGGCACAGAACCTTCTGCAACAGGCGACTCTATATTACAAGGCTGCCTTGGTGAGTTTCATACATGAGACCCATAGTGAGAACAGTAGTAGTAAAGGCAACAAAGTTCTAGAAACTGTGTCATGAGAATGGTGGCCACCACTGGCTGGCATGGTGGCATGTGTTTGTAGTTCCAGCCACGTGGAAGGCTGAGGTGGAAGGATCGCCTGAGCCCGGCAGGTCAAGGCTGTGGTGGCCGGGAGTGTGCTACTGCCCTCCAGCCTGGGTGACAGAGTGAGACTCCTACTCAAAATAAATAAATAAATAATTGCGAGACAACCAAATGCAGTTGATTGGAAATTGATATGGAAATGACCTGTGGACTACTTACCAACAAACACATAATTCTTCTCATAGAATGAAAGCCAATGTTGAAGTATCAGCATCTCAGAGAATGTCAAGCCAGACACATTATCCACAAGGCCTCCTTCAGAGTAATCCCCAGTCACAAATGCTCTGGATGCATCTCGACCTGCAGGAGAGAAGTTTCCATCAGATTAAGCTGTAAATCACCAACACTGTACCAATGCAAGACTGTTTTCTGGGAAACATATCCTGACTACCCTTCTACCCATCCTCAGGGAAATGTGATCCCTCTCTCCTCAGTGACAGATGCTCCTGGGCCTTGGACACACATCTCTTTGGCATTTGTCACATTTTTTCATTTGCCTTCAGCAACACTTAACACAGCTGACCACCTCCTTTGGCTTCCATGACACTACAGTCCTGGTTTTCCTCCTGACTCTCTAGCTCTTCATTGTCTACCAGCCTTATGGGTCAGTTACTGTCCATTACCACGACTCCATCCTCACCCTCTCACTTGACAATCTTAGCTCCTCCTGTAGCTTCAAATCCTGCCTACAAGCCAAAGATAGCCAACTCTGTATCTTTAGCTCAGACTTCTCCCAAGCACTGGATCTGTATATCCAACTGTCTACTAACATCACTTAGATGTCTTCAGACATTCCAAGTTCAAAACTACACTGGACTCATGGTTATAAGCATCTCCACACCCAAGAATCCTCCATCTATTCTAGAACTCCCTAGCTCATTAAGTGTCAACCAGTTGCTTAATCCAGGAATGCAGTTCTTGACACCTCCTTCATTCCTCACATCCAATCTGTCTCCAAGTCCTATAGTTCCCTCCTAAATAGTTCTTGTGTCAGTCTACCTATCTCTACCTACCGCTATGCAAGCCTAGGCTGCTACCACCTCTTTTTTTTTTTTGAGTTGGAGTCTCACTCTGTTGTCCAGGCTGAAGTGCAGTGGCACACTCACGGCCCCTGCAGCCTTGACCTGCTGGGCTCGGGTGATCCTTCAGCCTCAGCCTTCCAAGTAGCTGGAACTATAGGCATGTACCACCACACCCAGCTAATGTTTTGATTTATTGTAGAGATGAGGTCTCGCCAAGTTGCCCAGGCTGGTCTCGAACCCATGGACTCAGGCAATCCTCTCAACTCAGCCTCCTAAAGTGTTGGGGTTATAGGCATTACAGGCACCAGGCCTTTTTTAGAGACAGGATTTCACTGTTGCCCAGGCTGAGGTGCAGTGGCATGATCATAACTCGCTGTAACCTTGAACTCCTGGGCTCAAGCAATCCTCCCACCTCAGTCTCCTGAGTGGTTGGGACTCCAGGTGCATGTCACCCATATTCATTATTGCCCTACTATTCTCCATACCACACTTGACTGGTATTTTAAACACAAATTGATCATGTCATTTCCCTGCCAAAAATCCTCAGTGGCTTTCCTTTGCTCTACGATAACGTACAAATTCCTTAACATGTCATTCAGTGTCTGGCATCAGCTGCCACCAACCTTGTCTTGCCACTGTCTTCACTGTTCACTGTATTCTCTTCCTGTCTCTCCTCCCTCACTAGGTTAGGGCCTTTGGTATCACCAGTATTTTTTAACACTTGTCATAAAAATAATTTATTAATTATGTGTTATCCATTTAATATCTGCCTTTTCTACTAGTAAGTTTTATCAGGGAAAAGAACACACCAAACTCATTTACTGTCAACTCCCCAGTATCTGGTACAGTGCCTGACCTTTAGTAAATGCCCAATAAATAAATATTGACTGAATGAAATCGACACATTTAAAGCCACTTTATTTTACTTTTTATAGAGACAGTGTCTCACTCTGTCACCAGGCATGCTGTGGTATGATAACAACTCACTGTAACCTCGAACTCCTGGCCTCACGCAATCCTCCAGCCTTAACCTCCCAAGCACTGGGATTACAGGCATGAACCATTGCACCTGTCTCTCCAATTGATTTTCAACAAAAGTGCCAAGACAATTCAATGAGGGGGAAAAAATAGTCTTTTCAACAAATAGTGCTGGGACAACTGAATAGCCGAATTGGATCCCTACCTCCTACCCTACAGAAAAATTAATTCAAAATAGATCGCTGACCTGAATGTATAAGCTGGAATTATAAAACTCTTACAAAAAAAAAAGATATAAATCTTTGTGACCTTGGGTTAGACAATGGTTTCTTAGGATATCAAAAACACAGCCAAAGAAATAAACAGACAAATTGAATTGGATCAAAACTTAAAAGTGGGAAACCCCTTTGGGTCCCCTCCCACTGTGGGAGCTTCTCTGTTCTCTCAATAAATCCTGCTTTCTCACTTTAAAATAGAAAATAAATAAATATTTAATAAAATAAAATAACTTAAAAATTTTACATATCAAAGGACACAATAAAGAAAGTGAAAAGACAACTACAGAATGAAAGAAAATATATACAATCAAATACCCTGATAAGGGTCTAGTGTCTGGAATATATAAAGTAGTCTCACAACTCAAAAATAAAAAGACAACCCAGTTAAAAAATAGACAAAGTATTTAAACAGACATTTCTCTAAAGAAGATATACAAATGGCCAACAAGCACATGAAAAGATGCTCAACATCATTAGGCATTAGAGAAGTACAAATAATCAAAATCACAACGAAATACAGGTTGAGCCGGGCACGGGGGCTCACGCATATAATCCCAGCACTTTGGGAGACATAGGTGAGAGGGTTGCCTGAGCCAACTGGTTTGAGACCAGCCTGGGCAACTTGGTGAGACCTCGTCTTTACAATAAATCAAAAATTTAGCAGGGTGTGATGGCGTATCCTGTAGTTCCAGCTACTTGGAATGCTGAGGTGGAAAGATTGCCTAGGCCCAGCAGGTCAAGGCTGCAGTGGCTGTGAGTGTGCCAGTACACTCCAACCTCTCCAACCTGGGCGACAGAGTGAGACTCCAACTCAAAAAAAAAAAGAAAAGAAAAGAAAAGAAAAAGAAATACAGGTTGATTATCCCTTGTCTGAAATGCCAGTAATAGAAATGTTTCAGGGTTCAGATTTTGTCAGATGCTGTCAGATTTTGGAATATGTGCCATATACTGCATTTGCTGGTTTAGCATTCCTAAACCAAAAATCGCAAATCCAGTGTGCTCCAGTGAGCATTTGCTTTGAGCGTCATGTTGGTGCTCAAAAAGATTTGGATTTTGGAGCACTTCAGATTTCACATTTTCAGATTAGGGACACGGGACCTGTACCACTTTAAACCCATTAGGGTGGCTATAATAAAAAAGAATTTAACAAGTTTGGTGAGGATATGGAGAAAGCAGAACTCTAATACATTCCTGGTAGGAATGTACAATGGTGGAGCCACTTCAAATAAAACAATTTAGTAGTTTCCCAAAAAGTTAAACAAAGAGTTACCATATGACCCAGCAATTCTACGCCTAGGTATACCCAAGATAACTGAAAACATATGTTCACTATACACACACAGGTTTTTTTTGTTGTTTTTTTTAGGGATGGGGTCTCACTATGTTGCCTCAGCCTCTTGAATAGTTGGAAATACAGGTGCACGCCACCACACCTCACACACAAAAAAAGATATTCATAGCAGCATCACTTGTAATAGGCAGAAAGTAGAAAAACCCAAAAGTCCATGAACTGGTAGGTAAAACATTATATATATATATATATAATGAAATATTATTCAGCCATAAGGGAATAAAGTACTGATACATGCTGATACACTGTGGATGAACCTTAGAAACATTATGCTCAAAGAAGCAAGACATAAAGGGCCACATGTATGATTGTTTCTATTAAATGCCCAGGATAGGCAAATCTATAGAAACAAAGTAGATAGTGGTTGCTAGGAGCTGAAGGAGGAGGGAACAGGGAGTAACTGCTAACAGATCTGAAGTTTCTTTTTTTTTTGAGTTGGAGTCTCACTCCGTCGCCCAGGCTGGAGTGCAGTGGCCGCTCCCGGCCACCGCAGCCTCGACCTGCTGGGCTCTGGCGATCCTTCCCATCTCTAGAAAAAGAAAAAAATTATTAAAAAAAATACAATTCGGTGGGTTTTTAATATAATGAGAACCTTGTAAAACCGTCACTACTATGTAATTCCAGAACATTTTAATCTCCCCACAAGGGCAACTTGGCGAGACCTCATTTCTACAATAAACCAAAAAAATTAGCCGGGCATGGTAGCGCGCGCCTATAGTTCCAGCTACTTGGAAGACTGAGGCAGAAGGATCACCTGAGCCAGCAGGTCAAGGCTGCGATGGCCATGAACGTGCCACTGCACTCTAGCCTAGGCAACAGAGACTCTTACTATAAATAAATAGCAGATTTATTTATAGTGTGTGGACCACCAAGCTGGGGTAATTTTTTTCTCTCTCTTTTTTGTAGAGATGAGTTATATCACAATAAAAAATACTGATTGAATCACTAAATGGACATAGCTGCCCTGCTACTAGGCTGTGTAGGCAGTGGCAAGCATATTATAGACATTTCTGATTCTTCAGCACCTGACACAAGGTAGGACACATGGTAATGACCAATAAATAGATGCTGAATGAACACTAGACACATAGGAACTCAGCAGACAGCAGACCATGTGGCAAAAGAAAAATCACTCCAGAAGAGGAAGGTTTTATGCCCACACTTGTACGTACATCCATGGCAGTGGCATCAGCATATGGCAGGACAGTGTACCCAAAAGTGCCCTCAACTGGCAAGTATACAAAAACTTTGATTCCAGTCTCAACTCTGCTTCTAACTCACTGTGTAGCCCTGGGTAAGACCTTTCTCCTGCTGTACTGTTTCAGGAGATTGGTAAGAACCCTGGACTTAATTTCTTGTCTGCTAATGCTTCTATTTCTGAAGTTCTTCATGGAGAGAGGGAAGTAGCTTGTATCTGCATGCCAGAGGCAGCTTCCCAATTCCTCTAAGATAAAAAAAGTAGAACTTTTTTTTTTTTTGGAGTCAGAGTCTCACTCTGTTGCCCAGGCAGGAGTGCACTGGCACACTCACGGCCACCGCAGCCTCTACCTGCTGGGCTCAGGTGATCTTTCTAACTCAGCCTTCCAAATAGCTGGAACTACAGGTGCACACCACCATGCCTGGCTAATTTTTTGACTTACTAGTGACTAGGTCTCACCAAGTTGTCCAGACTGATCTCCAACCCCTGAACTCAGGCAATCCTCTCACTTTGGCCTCCCAAAGTACTGGGATTACAGGCATGAGCCACTGTTTCCGGCCTCTTTTATTTTTGAGTTGAGGTCTCACTCTGTTGCCCTGGCAGAGTACAGTATCATGGCTCACTGCAGCTTTAAACTCCTTGGCTCAAGTGATCCTCCTACCTCAGCCTCCCGAGAAGCTGGGACTACAGGTGTGGACCACCAAGATGGGGTAATTTTTTTCTCTCTCTTTTTTGTAGAGATGAGGTCTCACTATGTTGTCTACATTGGGCTCAAATTTCTGGATTCAAGCAATCCTCTTGCCTCTGCTTCCTAAAGTGCTGGGATTATGGGTATGAACTACTGAGCCTGGCCTTCAAGTGCATGTTTATTTACTATCAGCCTAGTCATTGGCTGTAGGATTGCCCTGCATTTTTTTTTTTCTTTTTAAAACTGGGAGACAGTCTGTTCCCCTGGCTGACAAGGCAACATCTCTAAAAGCATTAGGCTGGTAGTCCTAGTCCATGCTCTGTTAGTACTTAGTTGTGACGGCTTCAGGCAGAACACATCCTTCAGTCCCCTCAGTAGTAAAATAGGGACAGCAATATAAGCTTATGTGAATAAAATTTAAACTTAAATGTTCTTTGAGGCCTAACACATGCACAGCTTTGCTGTAAGTATGTAAGGACTGACTGTAAAGGTGACCTCTTTTCTGTGCTCTAATCTCATAAACTTTTTAGTAAGGCAGACAGGTGCATTTGTACTAGAAGCAAGAACGACTCAAACCAAACATACTATTGTTAGGGGTAACTTAACGGGTGGGGGAAGAAAGATTACTTCGGATCAGGGCATATTGAAGAGATGGTTGGAATTAGTAGGGCAACTGTGAGGGCAGGGACAGGGGTCTCAGTCATCTCTGTGCCTTGGGAGCCCCACAGAAGTCTGGCGCAAAGCAGGTATCTCCGAGCTTCAACAGGGGGTAATGGGTAACAACAGAGACAGAAGACATGTCTCACCAACATAGGTCACGCAGAGCGGTGGGGAACGATAGGGAGGGTAGAGAGAGGTCGCGAGGAGTTGGCCGCAGTCCCGCCCTAACCAGGAAGGTCAAAAGGATGACGGTGCAGCTGAGTCCCACCCGCCACGCTGGTCTGATGAATGTGGGGTGGGGGGTGAAAGTAGACGAAGAATGAATGAACGACGCGTGGGTGGCTATAGGCCCGCGCCAGCGGAGGGAAAGGCGTGAGCAGCCTCCCCGATACCTGCGAAGCCGCTATAGTGGGCCCCAGGCTCGTAGTGCCTCCGGCCGGAGGACACATCGTAGACGCGGCCGAGCAACGCCAAGTAGAGGCCGGGGTCCCCTGGGCCGCCGCGGTAGCGAGCCAGCTCCTCAGGTATGAAAAGACGAAAGCCAGCGCGGAGACCCCACCAGCCCATCAGCCGTGCCGCCACAACTGCGGCTGCAGCTACAGCCAGGCCCAGCAAGGGCACCCCGCCGCCGAGCCTAAGCATTCAGAAAGTCGCACCCACACCGCACTTGGGACGCGGCCGCCTCTCTGTCCACAACTAAGATGGCTGAGACGCCGACCGTGACGTATCCGGCGCGAGATCTCTCTCTCTCTCTCTCTCTATCTTTCTATCGCTCTGGCGAAAAGCTCCTCTGACTCCGACGCTTGCACGTCCTTCTTTCCCTGCAGGTTGTCTGCCCCCAACAAAGATGGCGGCAAAGGAGGCTACGGGGTGATGTAGATGCGAAGACATAAGCGTCTACTTGGAAATCAGGGTTCCGATCTCTGAGGCGGCAAACCTCGCCTAGCTGTCGTGACTGGTAGAGGCCGCTTGACGGCGTCTTTGCGACAGCAGTCCCCGCTTGACGGCCAGGAAGCCGGAAGCCACCGCTGCCGTCGTCTCCTCCCCGTCCCCGCCCGCCGGGTGCTGTCGGAGGTTGACAGGTCGAGGCGGGGAGGCGGTGGCGGCGGCGGCAGAGCCAGGCGCCCAAGACGGAGACCCCATGGGGAACGCTCCGAGTCACAGTAGTGAAGACGAAGCGGCAGCCGCCGGGGGCGAGGGCTGGGGCCCACACCAGGACTGGGCTGCGGACTCGGGCACGACCCCCGGCCCAGGCCTCGCGGCCCCGGCGCTACCGCCCGCTGCCGCGCTGCTGGAACCCGCCAGGCTGCGAGAGGCGGCAGCTGCGTTGCGGCCCACACCGCCCTGCGAGTCGCTGGTGTCGAGGCACCACTGCGCGCTGATGCGCTGGCTGGAAGAGAGGCTGGGCCGCGGCGAAGAGTCCGTCACTTTGGAGCAGTTCCGGGAGCTGCTGGAAGCTCGCGGCGCCGGCTGCTCCGGCGAGCAGTTCGAAGAGGTCAGGGCCTGCTGGCGACTGCGGGGACGGGGCAGGGCGGTCGCTCCCAAGGAGTGAAGGGGTGGCGATTGCTTTGGAGAGCCCAGGCAGGAGCCCATAGGTCCACAGGTTCTTAGGATGGGAATATAAGGTTGTCGGGACACAAGCTCTGGGCGCTCGCTACCCGCCTGTTCGCTCCAGGTGTTTGCTCTGTCTCTCTAACCTCAGACGCGTGGAAAGCCCGCACTAGACCGTCCTTGCTCTGAAGAGCTGGACAAACCCAGATAGATGTCTGTGCATGTTGTAGTACAGTCATTTGTGCAGTTGATTGACGCTGGATCCACTGCTCTCTGGCACTTCCTTAACAGGTTCCAGAACAGTTAAAGAGAAAGGAGATGTAAGATTCAAGGGAGTGGCAGTGAAAACCATTCTGTTTTGTTGGCCTGTGCAAGTTTTTGCAGAGCACCTTCCAAATCCTGTGTGGATGCCTAGTAAGTGTGGAAGGAGTCGGACACAGTGGCTCACGCCTGTAATCCCAGCACTTTGAGAGGCCAAGGCAGAAGGATCGCTTGAGTTCAAGAGCAGCCTAGGCAACATAGTGCGACCCCATCTCTACAAAAAAATTTTAAAATAGTCTGGGCGTGGTGGTTCACGCCTGTAGTCCCAGCTATGCGGGAGGCAGAGGTGGGAACATCACTTGCGCACAGGAGTTTGAAGGAGCGTTGAACCATGATCATGCCACTTGACTCCAGCCAGGGCAACAGACTGAGGCCCTGACTCAAACAAAAGCAAGTGTGGCTGGGCTCGGTGGCTCAGCCTGTAATCCCGCGTCTTTGGGAGGCTGAGGTGAGT